CCACATGCGCTCCAGTTCATGTCCTGGCTACTGCAGTTCTGACCCAGCTCCCTGCTAATGGCCTGGGGAAAGCAGTGGAAGATGGGCCCTTGCCACCCCCAAGGGAGACCTGATGAAGCTCCTGGCTCCTGGCTTCTGCCTGGCCCAGCCCCGGCCATTGAGGCCATTTGAGGAGTAAATCAGTGGTTGGAGGATCTCTCTCTCTCTTTCCTCCACCCTCCCGTGTTTCAAATAAATACATAAATAAATAAATCTTAAAAAAAAAAAAAAAACACTACTATACCTGATACAGGGCTGATCCTCTCCGGGTCCCTTGGCGGGACAGACTTATTCAGGCTTCAGGAAGGAGGATGCCCCTCCCCTCTAGCATAGGCTGTTCCCAGTTCCCTAGAGGAGCCCACTGTGTGCACTGTGTGCAGGTGTTGGGGGTGGGGGGTTGAAGGAACCAACCTGGCTCCCTGCCCTTCCCCATCACCCCAGTCAGGCTTCCCTGGGCTGTGGTAGCCCTGTCCTGCTGGCAAAGCGATTGCTTACCTAGGACTTTTATGAGGACATTTTTATTGAGCTGTAATTGAAAAGAAAAAACCCTCCAAGACACTCCAGATTGTTCTCCTCAGCTGCTGAAGGCCTGGATGCGCGTGCGCGCCCGTGTGTGTGTGTGTGTGTGTGCGCACACTCAGAGACCTTGGTCAGACCACACCAGGATTCTGTTGGGAAAGTGAGGAGGTTTTTGTGTCAGACATTTACTTTCTGACCTCTCCTTTAAATTAAAGACCAGGGCGAAGATCAGGTGCGAGTCTGGAGAGCCTGTCAGACTCTTCATGGAGCAGATACCATAGTAGTTGGGGAAGTGGTGTTGTACGTAGGAGGCCGCATTTGTCATGACACCCAGTCTCCTAGCATATCTGTACAGCTCTGATGTAAGGAACCTGTAATAGAAGGCAGAGCATGTTGTGGGTGTGAAATTGCTTGGGGGAAAATGTGGATCATATACATGTATTTAAATGAATGTGAAATAAACCTAGAGATGGCCTATGAGCAACAGAGCAATGGTGACCACCCTGTCATGCCCCGCCACCCCTACTCAGGATGGTTGAAGGTGCAGACCCTCCTAACAAGTCTTGTTTTTCCCACATCAAGGAAAGAAGCTCAGCCTTTTATTGAACACCTGCTATGTGCCAGGCACCAAGCTGCTGCTCTAGTTCCATCCTCACAACAGACCTACCCAATGCACCTCTTCTGTCTTCTTACTTGTGCTTCAGAGGAGTTCAGCATCTGCTGGGACTCCCACAGCTGGTTAAGGGGGGAGTCTGCTTGTGGACCTGAGTCCACAAGGTGGCTGTTGGGTGCATTGGTTGAGATACTGCTTGGGATGCCCACATCCCATATGAGACAGCCTCAGTTTGAGCCCCAGCTCCTCTGCTTTGATTCCATCTCCCTGCTGATGTGCTCCCTGGGGGACAGCAGATAAAGGCCAAGTGTTTGAGTCCCTGCACCCACCTGGGAGCCCTAGATTGAGTTCCTCGCTTCTGAAGCCCAGCCCAGCCCTAGCTGTTGAGCACATCTAGGGAGTGAACCGGCAGATGGGAGCTGTCTCTCTACCTTGCACATAGAATACATAAATAAACATTTTTGAAGACCCCAAGTCCATGTGCCTGCAAGGCTCTTGATCTTCCTGCCGTTCTGTTCCCAGCCCCTGCAGCAGCCCATAATGGCCATGGTGGTATGTGGGTGGTGGGGTATGTTATGACCTCCTTGCTAGAGACATGGTGCCACTTCTCTGGAGGGGCGAAGCTGGGATGCAGAGTGAGACAGGCCAGGCCCCATGCCTCTCTGTGGTACCTTTCCAGGGCCCGGCCTGACCCTGCTGTTCCGTTGTCCTCCACTCACTCAACGTCTGATGGTGCCTGTGCTCTGATTGGAATTCAAGGAATGAAAGCATGGGGTTCTGTCAGGTGCCGAGAGATGTACTCCCACCCAGGTGCCCTCAGACTCATTGTCAGAACACAGCTGATGAGGGCTCCGCTGGAGAGTAGGTGTGTCTCCCAGGACGTGGCGTGACTCTGGTCCCCAGGTCGGCGTGGTTCTCCGGTGCAGGCTGCTGTGTATTCCAGGGCTTCACTTCTTCTTCTTCTTTTTCTTTTCTTTTTTTTTTTTTTTTTTTTTTTTTGACAGGCAGAGTGGACAGTGAGAGAGAGACAGAGAGAAAGGTCTTCCTTTTGCCGTTGGTTCACCCTCCAATGACCGACACGGCCGGCGCACCATGTTGATCCGATGGCAGGAGCCAGGTGCTTCTCCGGGTCTTCCATGGGGTGCAGGGCCCAAGCACTTGGGCCATCCTCCACTGCACTCCCTGGCCACAGCAGAGAGCTGGACTGGAAGAGGGGCAACCGGGACAGAATCCGGTGCCCCGACCGGGACTAGAACCCGGTGTGCCGGCGCCGCAAGGCAGAGGATTAGCCTATTGAGCCATGCCGCCAGCCCAGGGCTTCACTTCTGATGGTCCTGTTGCTGGCAGCTGACCCCTCTGCTTGTTCACTCTGACTCCACCTGCCTCATGCTCGTGTTCCCGAGACCTCCCCACCAGTCTTGCTGCTCTTGCGCTACATACATCCCCATTCAAACTCCCCGCGAGAGAGGACCTCTTTGGGATGGCAGGCTTCCCCAAGGCTCTGGCTGTGGAGTCTGTACTCCAGGTGCCCTCTCCTGCCCCAGTCAGGGAGGGAATAGAAGCAGCAGATGTCAGGGCCAGGCTCTGAGCTGGAGCCCTGCGGAGTACCCTGCTGTGGAAATGTGTGCAGGCAGTCTGGGGCCTCTCCACACCAAGCTGTTGGCCTGGAAAGAAGGTGGGGTGACTGGAGCTTTGGACAGAGCTGGGGGGTCTCCACCCTGCCCACCCAAGGCCTTTGCCACCAGTGTTCCTCCTGGCCATAGACACGTCTCTTGATCTCAGGTAGGCTCTGGGCAGAGGCAAGCCTGGGCTGTACGCTCCCCATGCTTCCCGCAGACACGGCCTCATCTCCATGCACTGGCACAGGGGTGCATGATGTGGCCGCTCTGCCCTTTCACCAGCTGCTCATTCCTCCAAAGGTTCATTTAAAGCCAGAGCTGCTAGTCAGACCCGGCTCTGTCCGTGTGCTGGTTACCTACTGACGCGTGACAGATGACTCACATTGAGTCACTCAAGACAAGGGCATTTTCTTATATCTTATTCATAGGTTACTAATTCAGGCAGGCACAGATGAACAATCCTCTGTTCCCTGTGGCATTGGCAGAAGTCCCTTGGGATTGAGCTGGCTGATGTAGTGATCTAGAGAGTTCAAGGAGGGCTCCCTTAAATGTCCAGCATCTGCGATCAGCTGAGACTAGCGAGCAGCTAGCTCACACAGGAGCATGGCAGCACGATGGTCTCAGGGTGGGGTCAGACGTTGTGCACGGTGGTTCACAGTTCCTGAGTGAGCTGGAAGTTTCACAGTGTCTTATGACTCAGCCTCAGAAGTCCCAGAAAGTTACTCTGCTGTCTCCTTTTAGCAAACAAGTCACTAAGGCCAGCTCAGAGTGTGGGCGCAGGAAGCATTTAAGCACGTAGATTTGCTGCCTGAGTTGGGAGTATGATGTGGCTACGTTAGCCGTGTGACCTTGGGAGAGGTTGGGTAAGCTTTTTGAGCTTCATACTTCTCGTCTGTAACATGAGAGTAACAATAGCTACCCCTTAGGGCTTATGAGTGTTGAATTGTATATATAACTTATCAGTATCATGAAATTTATAAATAGGAGCTGGTGTTGTGGTATAGTGGATTGAACTCCCACTTGCAATGTTGGCATCCCATATCAGTGCCAGTTTGAGTCCAGCTGCTCTGCTTCTGACCCAGCTCCCTGCTAATGTGCCTGGGAGGCAGCAGATGATGGCTCAAGTACTTGGGCCCCTGACGCTTACATGGGAGACCAGGATAGAGTTCCTGACTCCTGGCCCAAATCTGGCTGTTGTGGCCTTTTGTAGAGTAAAGCAGTGGATGGAATATCTGTCTCTCCCTCTGTGTCTGTCATTCTGCCTTCCTATAATAAATATTATACATATGTATATATACTTATCTTCCCCAGTGGCTACTGTGGAAGGTCTGCTCAGGATCCCCACTGTCTGCAGTGCCATCTTCTTTCCAGGCAGCATCCCAGACTATTTCCCAGCCTCCCCTGCAGTTGTTGTGACCACGTGACCCAGTACTTCCATGTGGAGCCAGAGAGAAGGGGGACGTATAGCCTCTGCGGCCTCCATGCTCACTGCCCCGGCCCCTGTCAGCCTGTGTTATGAGCATGACATGCAACTCGCTTGAGTTTGGGCTCTGAGGCTTTGGGGTTGTCCATCAGAGTCGTCAGCCTGGCCTCGTGGTTGCCCTGGCGCGTGGGCTGCCCTGGCTCAGCTCCCTGCTCCTGTGCGCCTGTCTGTAAGGCGGGGATAATAGGATCTACCCGGCAGGGTCAGGAGGAGGGCGGGAAGTGATGGATGGTTTGTCTCACTGGCTTAGCAGCTCCTCAGCCACAGTTCTTTCCCCTAAATCCTGGAAACTGGGTCATCATTAGCTTTTTTTTTTTTTTTTTGAAGCAAGATTATCCATAACAAAGCCTCTTGGAGGTTTTGGAAGGATAACATTTGAATTCTCAGTATTCCATGCCTGAAGGCTAGTAGTAATGGTCCAGTTTTAATTCAGAACACTTCCTGAAATCCATTTGACTCGCTAGCTTTCAAAATCTAAATATATAGAATAAGCTGTTTCTAAATTAGCAGTTAGTTGATTTGTTTATTTTTACTTTTAAAATTATGCAATATCTAATCATACAAAAAAAGAAGCAACAAAAATTCATATTTCTACAACTCAGTATGGCCAAGTCTTAACATTTTGCTGTATTGGATCCATGTTCTTTCTAAAGAAATAAAACATATGGATAAGACTCGAAGAAAAAAAAAAAGAAATTACATACCTAGAGCACTGCATGGCAGTTGGTAATTGTTAGATCATTTTTATTTTAAAACAAATTTAGGTTTACAGCAGGCTTATAAAGATAGCAGATATTTTTTATATACTCTCACCTTGCTTTCCCTGATGTTAGCTTTGTACATGACCATGCTGCATGTATCAAAGACATTAACACTGATAGAACACTACAAGTATTAACTAAACCACAAACTTTATTCTGATTTCCCCAGTTTTTCACCTCTGTCCTTTCCAGCATCCATTGTGAGATACCGTGTCACATTAAGGTCAGCCAACTTTTAGTCATCTGTGCCCTCAATAAACACACAGAGAACACTGCCAGCTTTTAGCCTGAGACTGGGGTGCGGATCCTCAAAGCTGTCATATGAGCTCCAACAAAACCTCTTGCAGAGCACCTTCTGCTCTAGGCCGCACTCAAGCCAGCCAGCAGTCCTGTGTGGTGCTGGCTGTGATTAATCCCATGTTACCAAAAGGGAAACTGAGGCAGGGGACGATTAACTGAGGGCACACATCTGTTAAGGGGCTGGGGCAGGATTTGAACCGACGGAGTCTGGCTTCCCAGGTACACTGTTAGTCATGCTTCCTGCCTCCTCTCATGAGGCTGCTCTTGGGCAGAGGGAGAGGGGACCCACTGCCACAGACTTCCCCCAGCGAGGGTGGCAGGCAGGAGGGCATCTGGGGAGGTGCCAGCCTGGAGCATGGCATCTGCTTGCTGTGCTGCTTGGAGAATGTGTGACTTTCCTCATACCTGCTTCCTCATGGCTTCCCTCCCTTCCTCCCTGCAGCCCCAGATTCTGAGCACAGTCCGCTGAGCCCCAGGTTGGCGACCTGCTAAAACCCAGCTACAGGGGCAGGCTGCCCGCTAGCAGAGACCAGGATAATGACTTAGATCCTGACTCCTGGAGCCAGTGTTTTGGGGTCCACTGATGGTGCATGAGCAAGAAACAGCAACCATGACTGAGTTGTCAGGCAGGCCCTGGGTGTAGATCCCAGGGAACAGGGGATGGGCAGGAGGGGCTGCTGAGCTTTGCTCTGCAGAGTGACAGGCCCTGTAGGCCTGGGGATGGAAGGAGATAACTTTCCGCCCCTGGGGTGAGAGGAGCCCTGGCTGTCTAGAGCTGGGCCCTGCCACTAAGCTGCTGTCCTCCAGCTGGGATGTCTATGCATCCTTGGGAAAGGAACAGCCAGCAGCCAGCTGGCGTTGGGCCAAGTGCAGCAGGCAGAGGGGCTGGCTGGGCCTAGAACCAGACCCAGAAGAGCCAGCCCTGTCTCCTCTTCTCTGAGCATCTGTGTGTGCACCTGTAAAATGGGTCTTTAAATCCCTCCCAGGCAGGCAGCATCCATTTGTGCATCTTGTGAATCACAGAAGGGATGGATGGGAGCTGAAACCCAGCCAGCAATCAGCTCACCCAGCTGGGCACTCTGACTTGGGGCTGTGTCCACTCAGGAGGAAGGGAAACTTTTCCTTCAGTAAGCTGCTTGCCCAGGGTTGCTTCTGCCTCAAAAGCTGGTTTGCTCAGAGGTGCATGTTTGTCCTATTTGTCCAAAGGGAAAGCACTGGCTCTCCGGAAGGACTGCAGAGAAGGCAAAAGCCCTCAGTCCGAAGGAGGGCAGAGCTGGAGGGAGAAGGGAGGAGCTCCAGGGGATAGGAAATGCTAGGAAGAGGGCATTAGGGGGAGCCAGATTGTGAGAGGCTGACAGCTGGTGGAGCTAGCTGGAGAGGAGGTGCACCCTGGGATCCCTTCCCCCTGGTGGCATCTGGAGAGAAGACCAAGTACCTGAGGGTGGAGTCCAAGCAGAGAGCATGGCAGCTGTGGGACCCTGTGCCTTCCCTGGTCAGACACAGCCAACTGGGAGGGATGACGGTACAGGGTGGTTGTAGTGACACTTTCACAGTGAAAGGTGGTGTCACAGCAAGGGGGACATTTTGGTAGCCCTGGGAGGAGCACTTCCCCTAGGCTGGGGGGCTCTGGGTGGGCTTCCCAGAAGTGCCATCTAAACTGAGACCTCAGGGAGATTCTGGGGTTAGCCCAGTGAAGCAGGGTGGGGTGGTGCATTCCTGGTGGTGCTGCCTGTGGCACATGCAGCACAGGGCTAAGAGCGGTGCATCCGGGTAGAGTCACCGTTTCTTACTTGCACAGAGAGCTTGGGGACAGAGCTGCAATATGGCTGGAGATATGGGAGGCACCTTCATCCTGTGTGAAGGTGTTCGTACTTTGGGGGCTTTCAGCGGAAGGGTGCATGATGAGGTTTTTTCCTGTTAGTAAAGTGTCCATCTCAGACCAGTGAGGCTGGGGGCGGAGAGATGGCAAGGGCAGCATAGCAAGAATCTGGGTGAGAGCCAAGGATAGTTTGAACTTCAATGGTTACAACCAACGTACAGTTTAGTGAGCAGATCTGGGGGTAGTTAGGAGGCGTCCAGGATGACACCTGCCATTAACTTGGGAACAGCGGCTGTCAAAACCCTTCACTGAAACAGGAAGCTAGGAACAGGAGTGGATCTGGGTGTGGGGAGGTGCAAAGTCCAGGTGAGTCTGAAGTTCAAGTCCAGTACTCACATGGAGGTGGCCAGTGGGATGCAGAAGACTGGAGCTCAGGGAAGAGATCTGAGCCATCCGTATCTGCCTGGGAGGCATTAGCCTAGAGCCTGTGGAGCAAGATCGTGCCCAGGGGAGCGGCGACGCCAAGGAAGAGAAAAGGCCAAGGGTGGGACTCAGAAACCTTGGCGTTCGAGGGGCAATAAGAGGAGGCAGGGCCCAGATGGGAGTTGCCAGAGGCTGAAGGAGACCCAGTGCTCATGCTCATGTACGCCCTGGGTGTGTACCACTCTGGGGAGCTTTCTGTGCCTGCTGTTTCGTTAGAGCATAAGAACTTAGAAACACAAAGCAAAATGGCTTATCCCAGCACAGAATGCCCTTCAAGCAGGACTTCTGGTATGTCTCCTCACCAGTCCCTGTCCTTTTGTTGAAGGCCTGTGTCTTTAGGTGACTGTCCTCGTTAAGTAGGCCTTTTAGAAGTGGAGTGCAGGTGAAAAGATTGGCTGGTTCTGAGAGATGCTGTTTGTGCACAGCAAGTGTTGATTATCAGCTTTGGGCAGTGTGGGCATGGAGAGCATGGTGATGCGTCAAACGCTGGTCTCAGTCAGACCGCCTGACTGCTGCAGGGTTACAAGAGGACAAGGAGGACGAGAGGAGGAAGAGGTCATCTTGCCCTCAGCATTTGTAGCTCAAGGCAGACATCACTAATTGATCCCCACCTGCCCTTCTTCTGCACTAAGCCTTAGAATGGACTAAGACTCTCTCCTTATTAAAGCTGCCATCATGCTAAATTAGCAAAGCCATCTGCTACCTGGTGGCCATCCTGAGATTAAGCCAATGCCTCAGAAACCACCAGAAATCTCCTATCTTAATAATGATGAACCTTTTATTATAGAGAAAGAATCAACTCTCTTGCATAAAGAATCTCTGGATTGGGTTAGGGAAATCCACCTGCTAAAGGTCACTGCCAGCGTTCTCTGCCTCTGCTTCAGCTAAGCCCCCACTTGCTGTTTGTATCTCAGGGTCACTGGAGACAGCAGAGGCTGTTGCCCCCAGGCCAGGCTGGTTGAGTTGGGCCATGCTGGTGGGAGGATCAGGCCGCTGCGCTGCTTGTAACATCAGAGCCGCCCCGTCTCCCGGCCCAGCCGGTTGTCCAGGACCTGGAGCTGACGGAGGAAGCCCGAGTTGGGGCAGATATCGCGGTGGGCCTGCACTGTCTGGATGGCTTCAACCAGTGTCAGGTTCTCGCAGATCATGAGGAAAGCCAGGACAAGCGTGGCAGAGCGGCTGACCCCCATGGCACAGTGGACCAGCACACGGCCTGTGGGGAGACCAACCTGGTGTCAGCCACCTGCTCTCAAGCCACCCATTTCACTGGGAGAAAGTGGCCAGCCTGCAGCCCACCCATCATAGCCTCTTGGAATACTGACACTGTCCTCACTGTCAGATATGGCAACTGAGACACAGAGAGGGAAGGTGGCAGGCTCAAGATCACACAGCATGTGAGTGGCAGAGTGATGGTCATCCCCGGGGTTCCTTTTTCATGGCCCAAGGTGCCTTCCTCTGGCCTCCGTTGCAACTTGAGGGGGCTGCTGAGCTCCCAAGGTCCCTTGGTTCGCCTCAGATTAAAGAGGATGCCACTTGCTTTCCTTCGCCCCAGTTCTGTCTCTGTCCAGCAGCCTATGCCATGGCCTCATCTCAGAGGAGTCTGTCTCGAGCCTTTGCTAGGTCCTGCTCAAGCCTGCCCTCTTGCTGAAGGAGACAGTTACACTGATGGCCCCATGGATCTTAGTGATGGCTCTGACTGTTCCAGGTGGCCTTGAATGGGACATCATCAAATGGCTTTAGTTCTTTACTTCACAGAGTGGGAAGGCTGCTGGAGAGATTTGGGGCTCTAGACCCCCCCCACCCCTCAGTGCTACTGAAAAATGCATGGCCCCAGCGCACATCCCATCCCCCACCCCCCACAGCCGCCCCGGGAGCTCACCCTGGGGAGCATTGAGGGCAGCTCGGATGTACTGAGCAACGGGCAGAAAGTAGACGCTGAGGTCGAAGAAGGGGTTGTCATCGGCCTCGATGCCGTAGTACTCCAGGGGCATTCCTCGGTAGAACTTGGCACCCGTGTCCACTTGAAACTTGCCTGCGGCCGCATTCACAATATGGGTAATGCGCAGCTGCATCAGCTGGCTCTTGTCCCGGGCTGTGTACCTGCAGTGGAAGGTGGGTGTGGATCTCACCAGGTCACACGTGCTGTGTGACGGGTTGGAAGTCGCTTCCCCAACCTGCACTGTTCCCCTCGGAGGGGAGCCACTGGAGCCAGTGAATGGGGGGGGGGGGGGCCCGAGGAGGAGCTCTTCTAGTTGGCATTTCACACTCACTTTCATCGAGGCCAGCTTTCTGGAGGGCAGTTGGGCCACATGCATCAGAAGCCTTAAAAATGTATGTGTACTTTGGGGCCGGCGCTGTGGCTCACTTGGCTAATCCTCTGCCTGAGACGCCAGCATCCCATATGGGTACCGGGTTCTAGTCACGGCTGCTCCTCTTCCAGTCCAGCTCTCTGCTGTGGCCCGGGAGGGCAGTGGAGGATGGCCCAAGTGCTTGGGCCCTGCACCCCATGGGAGACCAGGAGAAGTACCTGGCTCCTGGCTTCGGATCGGCGTAGTTCCGACTGTAGTGGCCATTTGGGGGTGAACCAATGGGAGGAAGACCTTTCTCTCTGTTTCTCCCTCACACTGTCTGTGACTCTACCTCTTAAATAAATAAATAAAATCTTTAAAAAAAATGTATGTGTACTTTGCCCCTAGCAGGTCTCCTAACATCAATCAGAACTATGCCCAGAGGTGCAGATGCTGTGGCACAGTGGGCTAAGCCACTGTTGGAAATGCAAGCATCCCATATCAGAACCTCAGTCAAGGCCGGCGCCGCAGCTCAATAGGCTAATCCTCCGCCTGCGGCGCTGGAACCCCAGGTTCTAGTCCCGGTTGGGGCGCCGGATTCTGTCCCAGTTGCCCCTCTTCCAGGCCAGCTCTCTGCTGTGGCCCGGGAGTGCAGTGGAGGATGGCCCAAGTATTTGGGCCCTGCACCTGCATGGGAGACCAGGATAAGCACCTGGCTCCTGCCTTCAGATCAGCATGGTGCGCCGGCCGTGGCAGCCATTGGAGGGTGAACCAACGGCAAAAGGAAGACCTTTCTCTCTGTCTCTCTCTCACTGTCCACTCTGCCTGTCAAAAAAATAAATAAATAAAAATAAAAAAACTTACTTCTCTTCGTAATCGATAGATTATCTAAAAATACAACAGGAACATAAATGTTGTAAATAGCTCTATTTTCAATGTGTGTCTATGAGAAATACAAAAACAGCTCTCTCTCTCTCTCACTGTCCACTCTGTGGGACACCTGGATGGAATTGCTGGCTCCTGACTTAGCCTGGCCCAGTCCTGGCTAATAGAAGATCCCTTTCTCTCTTTGTCATTTGCTATTCAAATAAATAGATCAATAAATCTTAAAGAGAAAAATAAAATGTGCCCACAGACATATGTGAACTGAGGGTAGTAATATTAAAAATAATGACAAGTTAGGGGCCAGCACTGTGGCGCAACGGGTTAACGCCCTGGCCTGAAGCGCCAGCATCCCATACAGGCACCAGTTCTAGTCCCGGCTGTTCCACTTCCCATCCAGCTCTCTGCTATGGCCTGGGAAAGCAGTAGAAGATGGCCCAAGCCCTTGAGCCCCTGTACCCGCATGGGAGACCTGGAAGAAGCTCCTGGCTTCGGATCGGCGCAGTTTCGGCTGTTGCAGCCAATTGGGGAGTGAACCATCGGATGGAAGAACTCTCGCTCTCTCTGCCTCTCTTTCTCTCTCTGTGTAACTCTGACTTTCAAATAAATAAAATGACAAATGAGGGAAAACCCTCCCAAGTATCCTATTATGGGAGCTTAAATGTGGCACAGTAGTCTTCCCCCATCTCTGGTTTTGCTTTGTGTCGTGGTTGGCCACGGTCTGAAAATACTGAATGGAAAATCCCAGAAATACACAATTCATGTGTTTTAAATGGGGTGCTGTTGTGAAATCTTTGGCCATCCTGCCATGTCCAGCCCAGCCTCGGGTCGCCCCTCTGTTCCACGCAGGCTGTGTACACTGCAGCCCTGTGGACACTTGGAGCCCTCTAGGTTGTCAGAGGGACCACGCTGCTTGTGTTCCTGTGACCCTTAGTCTGCCTAACACCGTAGCTGTTCTGGTCTGCTCTTATGTTGTTCATCTCTTCCTGTGCCTAACTTATGAATTAAAGGCTCATTGAAAAGTGCACGGGAGAAAATATGCATAGGGTTTGGTACTGTGTGTTGTTTCTGGCACCCGCTGGAGGTCTTGGATATGTTTCCTGTGTATCTCAGTGAGGAAACACTGTGCAGTCACCGAAATGTCCCTCATGCTGCTGAGAGGGGAAAGCTGTTCACGCTACGCTGAGAACCTGAGGAGAATATACAATACAAACCAGATGTTTTAATATATGGAGTATGACTCCATTTAAAAAAAGCTTTCTATAAAAGCAGCTCACAAAATGGGATTATCAAATGATACCATTTTTGTGAAAAAAAAAAAAAAACATGTATGTGCATTTTTTTAAAAGTCCACAAAAATTTGTTACTAGTTATCTGCAAAATCCATATATTTTGGTTCATTTTTCTTTTTTTCTTTTTTTATTTATTTGACAGGTAGAGTTATAGACAGTGAGAGAGACAGAGAGAAAGGTCTTCCTCCTGTTGGTTCACCCCCAAAATGGCTGCTATAGCCGGCGCTGCGCCGATCAGGAGCCAGGTGCTTCCTCCTGGCCTCCCATGCAGGTACAGAGCCCAAGGGCTTGGGCCATCCTCCACTGCCTTCCTGGGCCACAGCAGAGAGCTGGACTGGAAGAGGAGCAGCCGGGACTAGAACGGGTGCCCATATGGGATGCCGGCACCGCAGGTGGAGGATTAACCAAGTGAGCCACGGCGCCAGCCCCTCATTTTTCTAAAACGTAAAAGATACTCTTAGGAAAAAACAACAGTTCTATACACGCACACACACACACGCACACATACACACACCTTAGAGAAACTTCTGTATATTTATGTTTTCCCAGGATACGTGCACTAAAATATTCCTGGAACCACTGTTCATAGTACCCCAAAACTAGAAACAATTCATATGCCCATATACAGCAGAATGGATTAAACTGTGCTGTAATCATGCCATGGAATATTACACAGCAGAGAAAATTGAATGAACTGCAGCTATACATAACAATGTGGATGCCCCTCACAATTCCAAGGAAATAAACCCAAGCACAATTCTCTCTCTCTCTCTCATTCCATTCACATGCTTGTAAAGGACAGGTGAAACTAACTCCAGGACATTGTTTATAGATGCGTGTTATCTGAGTTCTGTTTCCACAGTCAAAATTAAAACTAAGGAGGAAAGGAAAATGTGGAAAGAGATGGTGGGAAGCAGGGGAGGACTCCTCCTGTGTGGACTTTGTAGCCTCTGCCACGCCCGCCCCTCTCGTGGGTCTTACTCACGCATCTCCCAAGAAGAGGTTGGGCCAGACCTCATTCACGTGGCTCAGCGTGGCAGCGCGGCGGACCCACAGCAGTCGCTGCAGTGAGGCCAGCGTGGGCGGCTGGTAGGGAGACACCCGCCCTGCCTCGTGGATCTTGGGCCTGCGGAGGTCTTGCTTCTGCAGTGAGTTCATCCTGGAACAGAGCAGACAAGCGGTGGCTGGCGGCCAGCCGGGGCGGGCCGCAGGGCAAGGCAGGGCAGGTGCCCCTGGGCACTGTGGGAAGCCTCAGCTACTTTGCATGAAGTTCTTAATCAGCTCAGCTAGGGCTGGGGCCCAGAACCTTTTCCTGGGGAACTAGAACTCCTTCGCCACCACAGAACTGGGCAGACCACTCTCCTGCCCTCTGTTGGGAGCTTTGGACCAGGCGTTCTTGGGGTTCCCAGGTTGCAATGCTGGGCAGTAGAGATCCTGCCCTGGAAGTGGCTGAGCACTTGAGACTTTGTAGGGACAGAACCCCCAGATGGTTATGTCTCTCATAGGATACCCAGCAAGCCCCCTCTGTTAGGAAAATGGTGCAGGCGCAGTCTTATCTGTGGCGCGATCTACACCTGATACACATTCTATGCCCCGGTACTGGCCGCCATTACTGAAAGCCAGGTAGCCACATGGCCCAAACTACCTGTGCCAAGCTCCACTCCCAACTTAATGGAATTGGCTAATTCCTACCTCACTGCCCACCCCCTGGAAAAGGTATATTAGACCCCCTTCCCAGACACGTGCTCTCTTTTTCCTTCACCACCCCACCCCTCCGGTCTGTTGGGTGTTCCCCAATAAACCTTTTCCCTTACTCCAGTGTTCGGTGTGTTTTGTGAGGGCTAACATTAATATATAACACCCTCTCCTGCTGCTTCCAGGCTAGGCTGGCCCTGGGGCTCCCACCCTCTCCCACCCTCCGGGGAGAGAGGTGGTGTGGACTGGGGTTTGTGGGCATTTGCACAGAATGAATGAACTAGCACCCCTTTGTGTCTGCTGCCTCCCTGTGGGGTGCTTCTGTTTTATGCAGATGGAAGCTCAAGCTCAGAATGTTTGCCCTGTGGCTGATGAGTGGCAGGTGTGTGCTCCTTCAGGTGCTGCCTCTGAGGACTCTGGGGAGTGGCCCACCAACCCGTCCCTTCCCTCAGGGGCCTGCACTGCCAAGCCACCTTCTGCCACAGGCCCGGGCTTTTCCTCCTTACCCCTGTGGCTCAGGCCAGTGTGGCACGACAGGCCTCACCCGGGTGGGGTGGGTGGTGTCAGGAGTCAGCTGGCTGAGGGCGTCCGGGAGCCTGCAGAGCTGGGGTGACAGTGGAACCAGGACCTGGGCCTGGGGCTGGGATGGGAACGGGGGCTGGCTTTGGCCAGCTGCGCCTGCTCTCTTCAGCCAGTAGCTAGGAAAGGTGCACACTGGGAAGAACATCTTTTCCTTTTGGTAGGCGGTTCCAGGGCCAGAAAGAGAAATGGGCACCCAGGAGGCCACTGGCTTGGCCAGGCTCACCCAGCGGGTGGCCGGTGGGCAGGGCGGAAGTGAGGACCCACCTTTCCCCTTCATCCCCTACTGTGACCTCACAAGGCAGGCTGGGTGGCCTGCCACCTACCTAGGGCATGGCCTGGGGTCGGGCTTAGGGGAATGGGTGCAAGGGCAGGACTCCACATGTGAGCAGAACGGGGCTGGGGCTGGGGCCCGGTTACGGGGTGGGCTCCGCCCAGAACACAAACCCTGTGAAGCGGCTAGAATTCCAGGTCCTCGCCCTGGTGCCCAGGGGGGTGGGGCCGAGAGCAGAGCAGGCCCCAAGGGGGGAACTCAGGCTCTGGCGTGCTTGCAGTCTCTTGGCCTCCTAATTGCCCCCCAGAGACAGAGGCTGCCTGAAGTGGCAGGGAGAGAACTTCAGAGAGAGGGAGGGAGACACTGCCCCCCTTGGGACTCCACCACATCCTGTTCTGTGGCCTCCAGCAAGTCTCTGCTGCTTTCTGGGCCACACTTTCTCTTGTCCCTGCTAAATATTCCAGTGTGGCCTGAGTTTCCTGGATTCTCTGGGGTCCCATCTGAGGTTGTTCATGGAGTGTCAGCGTGGGCTGTAACTGCAAAGCCATGGGGCCAGGTAGGGAAGCTCTCCGGCCCCGGGGGAGTCCAACAGTCCCACCGGCCTGCAGATACCCAGTGCGGGTGCAGCAGCCCTAGGCGGGGCCAGATGGGGCTTTGGGAAGCCTGACAGGCCCGGGGCTCTGGCCTGTTGAGCTTGGTGTGGGGTAAGGCTGCCCCCAGGTGGCCATCAGGTGCCTTGCAGCCCAAATGTGCCAGAGAAGTGGCAGCCAGGCTGCCGCTGATAAAGAACTGGATCTAACTCCCCAGAGGAAGGTATAGAGGGGTCAGGGATTAGGGACTGCCAGGCCACAATTCAGGCCTCAGCCTACTAGGATACCAAGTCTCAAGTCTGGAGAATAGGGCATTTCCTTGGACTGAGAGCTACTTCTAGGCGCTCAAAGAATAACCCGACCTGTCTGTCCCACTGCAGGCCTGGCCCACCTGTCAGCCTGCATGTGACTCTTCTGTCAAGCTCCAGGCACACCTAAGATGCAGCGGCCCCCAGCCCTGGCCTTCGGGGCACCCTGCCTGAAACTTCTTTCACGTATATCTCTCCTGGGCCTCCACAGGGGGCAAGCAGGGGCCCAGGGGCCCAGCGCCCCGGCGCACAGGCTTGGCCCTGCTCCTCTCCACCTGCTCAGTCCTCTGTCTGCTCCCTGGCCCCCAGCTGGCCTGATGCCTGCCTCTCCTGCTCCAGTGGACAGCAGCCTCCAGGGGCAGTGGGTTTGCTGCTCCTGTCCGCTGCAGTTGACAAGTCCCACCCTTGGGTTCTGTCTTTGTGTGGCTCTTTCCTTCTCTCCAGGATACTCTCCCTGCTTGCCTCTGTCTCCCACCCGCCTCTGGGAAGCTTGCCACCTCCTCCGCATCCCAGACACCGCCCTGCGCACTCACAGCCTGGACAAGGCCCATACCCGCTTGGACAGGGGCCCTCCCCCCTGCCCCCTCCTCAGCAGCTCCCCAGCCCCTCACTGCCTCCTCCTCCCCACCACCACGGGCCTCACAGGCCAGGTGGGGCTGGAGATCTCAGGGTCTGGGGAAGGAAGCCTCAGCGGGGGTGGCCAGCAGCCAATGGGGGCGGGCAGAGGCCCTGGGCAGACCTGTCAGGCCTGGCACTCCTGTCCCTGTGGCCTTCTCTGAGCAGGGGTATCCGGTGGGGCTGCTGGGGGAATTCCACCAAGCAGTGATTGAAAAGTACCTCCCCAGCGCCCGCCTCGTGGCGAGCACCCAGCCAGTGAGCGTCCTGCTGTTACTGTCATTCCTATAATTACTCTCACCCTTTCAGCCTAGGTAGAGGGCAGCTTCCCCAGGGCATGAAGTGTGGTTTCTGCTTGTGATTCTTCCCCTTTCCAGCAGTGACTGAAAGTCAGCGCTTACCAAGGATGTGCCATGGCTCACCCAGAGCTAGGCCACCCACATGTTCTCCCTGAGTCCCCATGGAACCCTTACAGAGCCGATGACACCATCATCCCCACTTTACAGGTGAGCAAACAGACTTAGGTTAAGCACTGTACCCAGGGCCACACAGCCAATAGGAGTGGCAACCAGCTTTCAAGCCTGGTCCTTTGGATTCTCCTGTGGTTTGTTTATACTCCGATCTCTGACCTTATTGGGTCCCCCAACCCAGCGCCCAGCCCTGCCCAACAGGAGCCCTGGCCCTCATTTCCCAGCACGCACCCATCTCCAAAACAGCACTCACCCACCTGGGGGGGTACCCGGCGCAGGCTGTGCTCTCCTCTGACAGGCAGTTTGCGGTGCCGGCTTCCAGCCGCCTGTCTCTGCACACTTGATGCTGTTTCTATTTTTTGATTTGAGATGAACTGTAAAGCATGCTGTCTATTCCCTGCTTCCCCCCCGCCCCGGCCACTCCCAGTGTGTCCACTGGTCCACGGCACGGTCAGTGCCAAGCCCAGCCGGGTCCTTCCCCTCTCTGCTCCCCGAGGTCTGGGGCGGTGGAAGAGGGAGCAGCCGTGGCCACGGGCTGGCATGAAGGCTTAGACTCCCCTCCCTCTCTCTTCTCCTGCCCCTCTCCTCCCGCGGACTCGGGTTCCTGGAACTTTGGGGGGCCGCTGAGAGGGTGGCCCACTCCCACCTGTGGGGACTGAAGACTGTGGCTGACAAGCGGTGCAGGCAACAGGAAGAAGCAGACGGCTCGAGGGCGGATCCCACGCTGGGCTCTTACTGTCTTACAGGCATCCACCTGGATCAGGGCCTCCAGCGACAGCAGTAGGGCCAAGACCAGGGTGGCCAAGTGGCAGAGCCTCGGGACAGGAAGTAAGGCTGGACGCTGGGAGAGAGAAGAGCTCTGTATTATAGGCAGGTGTACCACGGGATACCTTGGCTAGGACTTGTTGGGGCAGGGCCAAGAGCTGTGTGAGGTGGAGTAGGTGCAGGTTCCGGGAGAGATGAAGCAGGCCTAGAGAGAAACCTCACAGCTCCTCCGTCCTGCACAGGCTGTGTGGCTGCACAGGCTGTGCACTGCACAACTCCTGGGGGCTCCATTTGCAAAGACAGTTTGGTGGATGGCTCCCCCGTGAATTTTGTTACGCTGCCACCCTTCCCAGGTGACTTCCTGGAAGCCGCCAGCTTGAAGGGAAAGATGCTAAGGTCAGAGGTGAGGATGTTTAAGGGCCCCCAGCTGGGGAAGGTTAATTGGGCATTATCAGAGACTGCTGCTCTGCTAGGCTTCCGAAACCTGTCTTGAAGAGAGCAGGCTGGGACCATGCCATTCCCATGGGAGAGCATGTCCGCCTCTCCCTCTGCCCCCACACTCAGAGCTCCATGTGACACTTCCTCACCAGCGTGGCCTTAGACCTAATCTCCACCCTAGCTGTAACCCTGTCTCTCCTGTCACACTCACCCAGTCCTTCCCTAACCCTCCTCTCCAAGATGCTCATCCTCCAGCCGGCCTATGGAAAGGCCTCTGTGATGCCTGCGGGTCTCCCCTTCAGCTGGCTGGGCTGCCGCACGGGCCATGTATTCAGAGAAACAAACAAGCCAGGGAAGGATTCAGGCCTTGTCTGGGGAGCCCTGGGGCAGAGCAGAAAGCAGTGCCCTGTAGCTCCTGGGGGTGCCCAGGCCAATCAGCCACCTGCAGCTGGCAGTCCCTCCATGTCAGTGGGTGCTGGGCATGCAGTAACTTCCGTAAAATCCTGGGGTCTCCACCCCAAGAACAGACACCCTTGCTGCCTCCCACCTGGGACTGATTCTAGAGAAACAAGCAGCAGGACCTCTGTGACCATCGGTGGGCTGGGTACCTGAGAAGCGGGGTTCCTGCTGGGGAAGCTCAGCTTGTCCCACCCAGCATCTGGGAAGAGGAGACATTGTGCCTAGCAAGGGCTTGGGAGAGGAGCTCTAGGGGGCCCACTCCCCTTGTGTGACTTCAGGACCCCTGCTGTTGCTGCCCAGCACTGGACACACAGCAATGGCAGCAGCACATTTGGGAACCTGCTCGTGGGAATGGTGGGGCTGGGCTGGGTGACGCTCAGCAGAGCCCAGAATGTGCTTTCCCTGGAGCTGTGACTGGGGGTGGGGGTGGGGGACAGGTTGTAGAGGTGCAGGCCATGCAGCTGGCAGAGCTGCTGGCTGGAGGGGATGTGAGGGAGCCCCCAGGCTCGGTGCCCAGGCAGGGCAGACAGCCCCAGGAGAGGTGGGAAGCCTTACCACTTCCATCTTGCACCGCCTATACCTTTCCTTCCTTTTGTGTTCTCTCAAGAGTACGGGTCGGGCTGGGAGAGATGGGACAGGCTGCCTAGGCTGGGCCCTGGTGAGGCTTTGGGTGGGTAAGGGGAGCCAGCAACTTGGGGTATGGACCAGCCCCCTCACACCCTCACTGGCAGCCACACACTGCCCTGAGCACCGCCGCCCAGGTCCCCTGCCCAGCCCCTCACCTGGCCTTTCCCATCCAGGCCCCAGTGCTGTCCTGGTCTATACTACCTGCCCAAGCTCTCACCTGCCACCTCGATGTCAACAGCCCCAGCTTTGCCCCAGCCACTCCTCACCTGGTTCCTCAGCTGCGGCCGGCACCCCGCAGCTTCTGGTCCAGCTGGCAGAGCTGATGGAGGAAGCCTCGGTTGGGGAAGACCCATCGATGTTCCCTCACGGTGATCACGGCCTGGCGCAGGGAGAGCCGCTGGCACAGCATGAGGTAGGCCAGGACGAGCGTGGCAGAACGGCTCACGCCCACCACACAGTGCACCAGGACCTTGGCTGAGGGAGACATCTGGTGAAAGACCCTTTCCTGCCAGCTGCCCCCCGAGGCTGGGTTTCTTTTCCCAGCTTTGCCTTGGGTGCACACCTGTGAACCCAGACAAGTCAGTCGACCTTTGTGGGCTTTACTTTTCTGATCTGTCAGATGGGTAGACTGACACCTGCTGTGCCATGCAGTCCAACTTCCTCGCATGGCCCTTTAGGAGCTCGGCAGCCTTACCTCAGAGGCCCCCACGGTCCTAGCCACCCTCAGCTGTAGGATGGGGAGGCGACTTCCAGTTCCTTGGACAGCTCAGCTGACCACATGCCATTCCAACCACCTGGAAAACATGCCCACTGACCCTGCTCTGCTGTTTCTCCATCCCTCAGATGTCACCTGAGACCTGGCTTCCTCCCACAGGTCTACTGGGCTACTCAAAGTGTCGCTTGAATCACAGAGCAGATCATCACTTTTTGCATGGGTCTCCATGAACGATTCTCTGCTTGAGCATACACCTGCCCTTCAAACGTGCCTCTGGGGCTGGCGCTGTGGCACAGTGAGTTAAACCACTGCCTGTGATGGCAGCATCCCATGTCAGGGCGCCAGTTCAAGTCCTGGCTGCTCCAGTTCCAATCCAGCTCCCTGCTAATGTGCCTAGGAAGGCAGCAGAAGATGGCCCAAGTACTTGGACCCATCACCCACCTTGGAGACCTGGATGGAGTTCCAGGCTCCTGAATTCGCCTCGTACAGTCTAGGCCATTGCAGCCATTTGGCGAGTAGTTCAGCAGATGGACGATCCCCCCCCCCCCTTTCTCTCTCTCTCTCTGGCTCTCCCTCTCTCTCTGTCACTTTGCTTTTCAAATAAAATACATCTCGAGGGATGGGGGGGGGGGAAGGAGCACTTGTCAAACTTATCCCTACACAGGAATAACCGTTGTGCTGCTTCACCTCTGACTGTCCTTCCCCCCGACGCGTGATGGCGTATTCCGTGGGGCAGGGCTTCAAGTCTAGACTCCCGGAATTCAGCTCAGGGCCCAGCATACAGCAGATCCTCAGCAAATAGCTAGTGAGGGAATGCATGAAAAGCAAGAGTGTCGAAGGGCTCTGGGCGTTAAAAAGGGACCGGAACTGTAGCCTGTCATACCCGTCACACAGACGTGGAGACTGCGGTCCAGAGAGGGACACTGACTTGCCTGAGGCCATGGTTCAAGGATGAACACAAAGCAGGGGCTCCAGGCTCCCCAGGCCCCTTGGAGGGACCCAAGGTATCTGAAGTTAGCTTGCCATTTGAAAGTGCTTTGGGGGCAGACATCGAGGGGCCAAGTGGTCATTTCCCAAAACTGAGTGTTTTGGAGACGGAGCTGCTGTGGTGTTCGTGAGACCCGGCTCCCAGCCAGCCGCAGGGCTGCTCTCACTTTCCCCATCTGTGAAGCCATGGGGTCAGATCAAATACTGGAGCACTGAGCAGGAGAATTTTGCGAGTCAGGGATGAATGAGGGGAAGAGGGGCGCCCTCCCTGTGAATGAGCAGGGTGGGATGGGGGCTGGAACCCCAGATCCTACCCCCGGGTGTGCTGAGAGCTCGGTGGATGAAGTCCGCTGCAGAGGAGAAGTAGGCACTGATGTCGAAATCAGGGAGGTCGTGGGCTGGCACCCCCAGGTAGGACACACTGCTGCCGTAGAAGTCAGGACCACCCTGGCAGAAGAGGCCTCCGTGGGCGGCGTTCAGCACGTGGGTGATGCCCAGCTTCCACAGCTCGTAGCGGTTGTTAGCCGTGGCCCTGGGGAGGGCAGGGAGAGGGCTGGCTGCTGGTGGAGCCGTGGAGTTACGGAAGGGGCTTTGCCTGGACCCCTACTTCAGTAGCCAGGAGCTCTGAGGGTCAAAAAGAAGCTAGAACCCAGTAAGTTCCAGCTGGAGCCTGCAGCCCTCCGAGCTTTCTGGTGGGAGAGGTGATGGTGCAGGTGCTATTTTTAGACCCCTGCTTCCTTGGTGAGCTTCCCCTGGCTAGGATGGAAGGCAGGGGTTGCTTCAGCTCCTCCCTTCTTGCCCGATGCTCTCCCTCCCATCCCTGACCAATGCTGGTAATACCTGACACCTGCCTCTCATCTGCGTCTATACAGGCCCCACCTCCCTGATTCACCTTCAGTCAGGCTTCTCCACCCACTCTGTGTCCACAGGAGGGGCACTGGGGCCAGGAAGGGGACTCTTTATGTACCCAGTCTCACACTCCAAATACCATTCTCCAGGCTTCTGCGCCCCCCAACCAGCTAATGCACCTGAGGACTCTGGAAAGCGCCAGGCTTCCAGGCAGGAGAAGCCCTTGCTCCTCCTGGTGGCCCCGCCTGGTCACTGCGCTGTCCCCAGCCCGTGGGATTCCAGGCAAAGTCCCTGACCTGAGATGCTCAGAACAGAACTGTTTCTCCTTGTTCCCGTCCACCCTCATATCCGGTAAAGAGCTCAGAGACTGCCAGTTCTTGGCTCCACTCCCGCACCCCCATGCCAGCTACCACTCACGCATCGCCTATGAAAAGATTGGGCCAAACTTCGTCCACACGGCTGCAAGAGGCCTTCCCCGCCCTCAGGAGTTCCTCAAGCTCAAAGACGCTGGGGCAAGGCGTGGCTTCGGCGCCTTCCCCCTGCTCTGGGAGCCGGGGCTCAGCCATGAGCCAGCCCGCCCACTCCTCTGCCTCTGTGGTCACTCCGCTCTGCCTCTCTGGTGTCATTTCTCCTTCCTGGAGATTGGCAGGGACAGGTGGGGCAGGAGCAAGTGACTCAGCAAGTCATGGGAGCTTCCAGGGAGGACAGGATCTTTTCCTGCCTAATCCATCCCCCCACCCCCAAACCTGGGGAATCTCTGCAAGTCGCTCCACACTTCACCTCAGTCTCTGCGCCTGTGAAACAGGGCTCATCACATCCATCTCAGACAAGTGTGGTGAGGACTAAAGGGACGGAGGTTGTGCCCTAATACAGAGTCGGTGCTTAGACACATTTGTGAGGACTGAGTCAAAGCAGAGCTCAGCTGGAGAGGTGGTGGCTGGTGCCAAGGATGAAAGGCGCCGTCTGGGGTGAGGGCGCAGACTGGGGACGGTTGGAGGGGAGCCTCCGGACTGGGAAGCAGGTGTGGTTTTCCACGTTGCAGAGTCCGAGAAATGTGAGGAAGACACATGGACGGTCTCACCTGGAGGGGGCCCGCAAGGTTCACAGGGAGATGTCTCTCAGCAGCGTTCTTGGGGAGAAGATGGCTGATTCCTCAGCAGAGGAGGCTCCGGGGGCCCCGGGCACCCAAGGGCCAGAGGGGCCGTGCGTGTTGCCCTAGACTTGGAGAGCCAAAGGCCCAGGTCTCAGGAACATTTGGGGGGGGGGCAGTTTCCCGCATACAAGAGCTAGAAACAGGTCTGTGTGCCCTTCTGCCCGAGGTGCTTACTGGTGGAAGAGGTGAGGTGCCTTGCCGGCTCTTGTGGTTTCTCATGGAAGCTCGGCTGGCACTGGGTGGGTGTGGGCCGCAGTGGGAAGGTTCTCAGCTCTCCCTGCCCTTGCCTCCAGCCTGAGGAGAAAGGCAAACCCAGAACACCTCAGGGAAGCCCTTTGCACTCCCTTGCTCCCCACTGCAGATGGCCCTGCGTGGGGTGAGGTCAAGGAAAGGTTAGAGCCGGGATGCAGCTGGCTTTCGACTTGGCTTATTGCGATGCTAGGCCCGGGCTGAGGGAAGACTTTCCCTCAGGGAAGTGTGGATAACACAGGTTCTGGTGTCAGATTTGGGTTGTAATACCAGCTTGGGCACATGTTAAGCCTGCTCTGTCAGGCATTATGTTTCTTGGACTTGATGTGTTGAAAGATCTACCTTGTGGCGTTGGTACAAGGATTCTGTGAGATATGTGTATGGTTTTTGGCACAGACACAGGGCAAAGGGACAGTGATAACAGTGATCTCAGGGGCTGGGCTCCTGGAGAGGAGCTGGTTCCCGCCATAGAAATCAGGATAATTTTCTCCCAAGCCCTCACCCCCATTCACTGATGCCATAGGTCCCGCCCCATCACCACTTGGCCCCTTTTTCTTCTCCGGTGTTGGCCCGGGCCTGACGCATGCGCCCTTGGGCTTCCCGGCTGTGACTTTCCCTCTCCGTTCTCCTCTCGGGCTTATCTGGAAGCCCGCGTCCCTTCCGGTTTTGGCTCCGCCCCCACCGCCGGTAGGGCCCCGCCTCCCTCCGGTAGGGCCCCGCCTCCTGAAGCAGTTCCGGTTCGGCACGGAGCAGCTGCCGGCGCGGCGGTGACGGGGGCCGGAGCGATGCCTGCGCGCAGCCGCCACCGCCCCCGCCTCCACTCCAGCTCCCCGCCCCGGGCTCCGCCCCCGCCGCGCGAGGTGCTTCACTCCGGCGAGGCCGGGAGGGCCGCGGACTCCGACGGCGGCTCGGACGTCGACTCGGAGGTGGGCCAGGGGAGCCCGCCCCAGCCTGCGGAGGTGAGCAGCGGCTGAGGCTGAGGCCGAGGGGAGGGCAGTGTGGGGGTCCCCTGCGGCGGGGCTGAGGGACAGTCAGGGATGGAGCTGGGGGTTGCCGAGGGACCGGGGGGCGCGCGGAGACGGTTGAGGGAACCTGGAGAGTCGGCTCTAGAATGGAATTCGAAGGAAATGGAGGTTGTTGAGCCCGAGGGCCCGAGGGGTGGCGACGACCAGGGTTTGAGGGGTCCGTAGAGGCTGAGGGGCGGGAGGGCAGGGAAGACTCAGAGGCGAGGGCTCGGGGCTTTGCATATCAGCGCCGTGAGGGAAGAAGAGCGAAGGGTCCCCGCGGGAATGTGGACCCCGAGGAAGAGATGCTCCGGACAGCAGGGGTGAGGGATCGGGGGCCGCCGTTGTCTCCGGGCGCGGGCGAGGGAGCCGGCGTGGGACAGGCTGCCCTCCCGCCGGGTTAGGGAGGGTGGTCGCGGTGGGCAGGATTTAGGTGTGCCCGGAAGAGGGAAGGGCTATGAGACTGCAAATCGCCTGGCATAAAGGGGTGAGGGAGGAATTGGAAAAGGGAAATGTGGTCAAGACAGAAAAACTACCCTCAGGGATCTAATTTAGATGTCTTTCGAAGCATCAGATCCCACTAGAGCGACGAACTCTGCTAATGGGGCTTTCTGGTTGATGCATGGTTCATCCTTTTAAGAAGCGAGGGGCGGTGTTTATCACTGATTTGCCTCCAGGGCTGGGGGAAATAGTGAAGAGGAAGTGATGTCTGAGAAAGGTAGTGAAAGGAATGATTCGGAAAATAAAAAGATGTGCCCTTTTTTTTCCTTTGTATTTCTTTCATGAGTTCAAATACTAAAGTTTGGAGCCTAAAAAGGGATATAAGCATATTGCCTTTAAATTTTAAACATTAAGCTTGAAAGAGGAAATTGGACACTTGAGGTTTATAGGTGCTCACTATGAACTGGTTCCATTTTCACAGCTTGAATTGACCCATGCATTTGCTACACGGTAGAAATAGGGTCAGTGCAAGTCTGGGTTAAGAGGGCATGTAAAACTGGAAGTGAAATCATCGTGGTCCACGAGCCCACCAGGTCTTCCTCTCACTGGTGACACCGGGACTGTACCTCTTGAAAATTTGAGGAATCCTTCGGGCAGATTTGCAGGACCAATACTCAAACAGTATTTTGCAGATACCGTACAGTAATATTTGTAGTTCAGTGATCTGGAAAATAAAGCTAGAGGATGCTTGTAGTTGGCAGGTAACATCACTGGGACAGGTGGGTCCACACATGCTTTTTGTAGAAGACATAGTAACATAAGCATAGTGGTGCCAGAAACACAGTGACTGCGATGTATATGATCAAATTAGTAGAAATAAGTTAATTTCCTTTAGCAGTTGTTAAATTGTAACATGGTTCCAAGAAGTCTTTGTTAGACTTTAGCCACATGTCTCATATGGAGTTTTACTGTTAAAATATTTTATTTGATTTTAGGTTTTGCAAAGTTGTCGGCCTTTTCAAGCAAACATTTAGTCAAGTGTTTGTACTCTAACCAGATTACTGTTTTGTCTTTATGAGATTCCAACAAGCTTTTAAATTTATCTGTATCGATTGTTGCCTTCAAATGCTCAGAATAATAATTATTTCTCTTTTTTAAGATTTATTTTATTTATTTGAAAGACAGAGTTAGAGAGAGAGGGAGAGACAGAGAAAGAGGTCTTCCAACCGCTGGTTCACTCCCCAGATGGCCGCAACGGCCAGAGCTGCACCGATCTGAAACCAGGAACAGGAGCCAGGAACTTCTGGGTCTCCTATGTGGGTGCAAGGGCCCAAGGACTTTGGCCATCTTCTACTGTTTTCCCAGGCCACAGCAGAGAGCTGGATCACAAGAGGAGCAGCTGAGACTAGAACCGGTGCCCATATGGGATGCCGGTGCTTCAGGCCAGGGCTTTAACCTGCTGCCCCATAGTGCCGGCCCCATAATAATTATTTCTTTGATGAAGAAGTGGTGGATTCTTTGCTTTTTGTTGAGGTTGTCGAAAGACTAACTTCCTTTCCTTTAACTTAATTAAAAGAGATCTTTAGTTGAAGAAGTTTACATAGTATGACTGTTTGTCTAGGTTTTTTCTTCATCATTTTTTATTTTCTTTGATTTATTTCATTCATTTGAAAGGCAGAGAGAGAAAGCATGAAGATACAGAGAGATCTCCCACTTGCTGGTTCATTCTCCAAATGTCTGCAACAGCAAGGAACCAAGAAACCATGTGGGTGGCAGGGACCCAGGCACTTGTGCCATCATCTGCTGCCTCCCCAGATTGCACACCAGTAGGAAGCTCCCCTGGGAGCAGAGCCAGGACTCAAACCCAGGCACTCTGACAAGTGGATGTGGGCAACCCAAGCTGCATGTTAACATTAACCTCTGGGCCAAATGCTTGTCCCTGTTTAGGCTTCTGTTTACCCTGTCCAGCCTGGGATCCTCTGCAGATTTTTTTTTAATTTATTTATTTATTTGAAAGAGTTACACAGAGAAAGAGAGGCAGAGAGGTCTTCCATCCACTGGGTATGGCAGTCCGAAGCCAGGAGCTTCCTCCAGTTCTTCCCAGCTGGTACAGGGGCCCAAAGACTTGGGCCATCTTCTACTGCTTTTCCAGGCCATAGCAGAGACCTGGATCAGAAGTAGAGCAGCTGGGACTTGAACTGGCAGCCATATAGGATGGCGGCACTGCAGGCAGCAGCTTTACCCGCTACACCACAGCGCGGCCCCTAGATCTTATCTTCATACTTGGCTCTTAAGAAGTGTTGGCGTGTAAAAACTTGCTGAACTCAGCTGAAATATAAGAACTCTCTAGTAAGGTTACTTCTTAATGTTATTGCAAAATTAAAGAGGGAAATTATTAGATGGAGTTGTACAGTTAATGTATTGGCATGCCTAGTGGTCATTTTATTTTTTCCCTTTGTTAATTCTCATTCTTAGTTGTAAAGAAAATCAGTTTTATGGCAGAGCAGTTTTTCTAAGGCAGACAACAGCTGTCATGACTGCTATGGCAGAACTTACAGAAATATTTAGATAAATCAGTCTTGATTTCAGTAACACATGCCCCAGTCTGCCAAGAGTTTTATTCACACTGCACAACTGCTTATTTTTTTTAAAGATTTATTTTTATTTATTTGACTGAGTTACAGAGAGAGGTAGAGACAGAAAGCAGTCTTCCATCCACTGGTTCACTCCACAAATGGCTGTAACGGCCAGAGCTGAGCCAATCCAAAGTCAGGAGCCAGGAGCTTCTTCAGGGTCTCTCACGTGGGTGCAGGGTCCCAAAGACTTGGGCCATCTTCTACTGCTATTCCAGGCCATAGCAGAGAGCTGGACAGGAAGTGGAGCAGCCAAGATTCAAACCGGCACCCATATTGGGATGCTAGTGCTGCAGGCCATGGTTTTACCCGGTAAGCCACAGCACCAGCCTCACACCGTTGCTTATAAGCATGTTATTTTGTTAATCAGAGCTTCAGTATTTTCTGCAAAACGGCTGTAACCCATTGACCTATATTTGTGGCTTTTCTGAGAACTGAAGTTTGAGTTATGTTTTGAAGAAATTGTTAAATCTCAGATTTCCTAATGAATATTATTGTTATTGTTATTTTGTCTTAGAAGACTGCTATATTAACTAGTTATTTTCTCCAGATTTTTACATCTACAACTGATGTGATCTGTGATGCCACTAGTTGGGTGTACCTGTGTCACTATTAATTTGTAGATGGCAATCCTCCTGTCTTCATATTGTCTTTAATTTTTCCCTTGCATGTGGTTCGGGGAACTCTTGGAATGTGGTAGTTTGTTTTAGTTTTCTAAAGCTATGATGTGACACATTGAGAAGCGATACTAGGGTAAAAACAGAAGGAGTCACTTGACAGCAGGTTATCGTTATGGCAGTTAATTCTTTAGTTCTGTGGTTCTCGTGGCCTTGAGAAATTAAGAAAACCAAAAACAGGAGAGCATGGGCCAGGCACACTTGGAGAACAAATCAGTGTTTATACCCTGTCTCTGTTGCCACTGCCAAGTTTATCATCTGAATATATTAATATGAATTTGTAATGGATCTGTAGTGTAAATATTCCTCTCCTGTACACAAGATACCACCATTGCCAGAACTGAAACCTAACCTAGCTGACTTCAGTGACTTTATGCTTTTATTGTGAAATGATCTGTGAAATGATTCCGAGCTGTATTACCACCAGTATAGAATGTAACATGACTCTGTTAACAAAGAAAACTTGGTGATAAATTTTACCAGAAAGCAGTGTTCTCTGATAAGTACTTCAAAAGAGTATACAGTGAACTGTATTTGTATTTGTTTTTTTATTGTGAGTTTTGTTAATCTTATGAACTGTAGCTGAGGAAGAAAGAACTGGTAATATTTTTTTTTTGACTTTTTTTTTTTGACAGGCAGAGTGGACAGTGAGAGAGAGACAGAGAGAAAGGTCTTCCTTTGCCATTGGTTCACCCTCCAATGGCCGCTGCGGCTGGCGCGCTGCAGCCGGCGCACCGCGCTGATCCGATGGCAGGAGCCAGGTACTTATTCTGGTCTCCCATTGGGTGCAGGGCCCAAGCACTTGGGCCATCCTCCACTGCACTCCCTGGCCACAGCAGAGAGCTGGCCTGGAAGAGGGGCAACCGGGACAGAATCCGGCGCCCCGACCGGGACTAGAACCCGGTGTGCCAGCGCCGCAAGGCGGAGGATTAGCCTAGTGAGCCGCGGCGCCAGCCAGAACTGGTAATATAAGTATGTATTACCTTGACTTTTTTTGTTGTTCACTTGAGGTTCTTGAAAGATAAATTCTAAGGTGAGAAAAGTGATCCCTGCTAATTTAGGGTCTTCTTATAGGTTAGGTTAAAGTTGGAAATGTCTGTAAGTCAGTTTTGATTTGGAACTTTGAGACTAAATTAAGTTGATGTCAGTTTCATCAGTAGTGCTAGTATGAGAACCAGAGATTGCCACAACAATACATTAAAAT